CCCCAAAGGGCTTGGCGAGGGGGCTGGGCTTCCAGTCGTCCATGCCGGGGAGGAGGTCAGCGCCGTCCCGAGCCCATGCCTTGGCAAACCGAGGGGACCGGCCGGCGGGTCACCGGGAGGAAGGGGCTCTTCCCGGAGTCCGAGGCCTGGGGGGGGGGGGGGGATGGGGGCGGGCCTCCCAGGAGCTCTGCCCCGCCGGCACCCATACCGTGCGACCCGGGAAAGTGGCTCAACTTTTCCGGGAAAAACCCTTCCGCGGGGTCAGGTCACCTGGAGACTCCCCGGGGACGGGGGACGGGGGGCTGCCCAGGGACCCGGAGGAACAGGGCGAACAATCGGCTTTCAGGGCTCATCGGCCGCCACCAGGACCAAGCCCCGGGCCTTCCCCGGCCTGGGGGGCGAGGGCGGCGGCTTCCCCGGCCCGTCCTCCACCCCCTGCCACCCTCGCCGCCTCCTCTCCGGTCCCGCTCTGCTCCTCGCGGGGCCGGGGCCTCCTGAGGCCTCGGGAGCCCCGCCCGGCCGCGTTCCCCGCCCGGGGGCACTCACGGTTCAGGGGCCCTGGGCCCCGCTCGGGGCCCTCCCGGGCCGGCACCGCTCCGCCCGGCCCGCCGCGGCCTCCGCCTCCTCCATGCCGCTCGCGGCCCCGCCCCGGCCGCCCGGCCCGCCTCCCCGCTTCCGCTGCCGCCGCCGCTGCGGGGTGAGAGGGCGGCGGGCGGCGCTTCGGGCGGCCGCGGCGGGCGGGGTGTAGCCCGCGAGGCCGGGAGTCCCCCCGCAGCTCCGCGGCCGGCGGGGTGGGTGCTGGGGGCGCTGCGTCCCCGCCTCCGGCACCGCCAGGCGGCACAGCCCATCCAGTGGGCGCGCTGGAGCCTGGGCTGGACCTCACGGCACCCCCGGGGCGGGCACCCCCGGGGCGGGCACCGCGGGCCTGGACCGGACCTCACGGCACCCCCGGGGCGGGCACCGCGGGCCTGGACCGGACCTCACGGCACCCCCGGGGCGGGCTGCACCGGGTCTGCGGCATGCCGGCCTCGGAAGAATAAAGGGAATTAAATACCCGATACCTGGCTCCGTCATCACCCAGACCTTGGGCAGGTCCCTTCCCGCCTCGGTCGAGGGGCCCTGTGGGGAGTAGGAATGCGCTTGCTTGGTGCTTACTGTGTGCCGGTCACTGTGCGGAGCACTCGGCACAACTCACCGAGCTCCCCAGCAGCTCCAGGGGGGACGCCTGGATAGGATTCTCAGGGGGAGGCGCTGCCCTACCCCAGTCTTACTGCGGGAGAGAGTGAGGCCCCGCGTCACCCAGTTGGGAGAGCTAGGACTCCAATCCTAACTGCCTGGCTCCAGATTTCACTCTTTTTTTTTTTTTTTTTAATCCTCACCCGAAGATATGTTTCCATTGATTTTTAGAGAGAGTGGGAAAGAGAGGAAAAGACAGAACATGGATGTGAGAGAACCACATCGATTGGTTGCCTCCTGCACGAGCCGGGGACCAGGGCGGAGCCTGGAACAGAGATACCAGTCCTTGCCCTGAAAGGAACCCGGACCCTGCTTGCTGCTTTATCCACTAAGCCAAACCGGCTAGGGCCGGACTTCACTCTTTTTTTTTTTTTTTTAAATATATTTTATTGATTTTTTACAGAGAGGAAGGGAGAGAGATAGAGAGTTAGAAACATCGATGGGAGAGAAACATCGATCAGCTGCCTCCTGCACATCTCCCACTGGGGATGTGCCTGCAACCCAGGTACATGCCCTTGACGGGAATTGAACCTGGGACCCCTCAGTCCGCAGGCCGAGGCTCTATCCACTGAGCCAAACCGGTTTCGGCCAGACTTCACTCTTAATCCCTGCACTGTACTAACAATAATGATAGTTATAGAGTTGTGAAGATTAAGTGAAATAATTCATATACACAGGACTTCGCTTACCACAATGAAACAACAAATCTATGTTTCTCTCTCTCTTCCTGTCTTTCTCTACTCTCTCTTATATCAACGACAACAACAAGAAAAAGAATCACTTGGAGGACTTGTAAAAACATAAATGGTTGATCCGCATTCTTAGAGTTTTTGATTCAGCAGGCCAGGCCGAGCATAATACTGCATTTCTAACAAGTTTCCAGGTGACAGTGATGCTTATCTTAGGTGAGTGGATAGCCATGGAAGAATTTTAGGCAGGGAAGCAACATAAACCAATTTAAGAGAATATTTACTGTTTGTAGATTAAAAGGAGACAGAAGAAGCCAGAAGACCAGTTAGTTATTTTTGAACTCTCCACCAGAGGAAGCCAGAAAACCAGTTAGTTATTTTTGAACTCTCCACATTCCATCTGCTTCCTAAATGGTGAGATGATATCCCCCAAAATGTTAACAGTTATCCATGAATCAAGAGATACTACGGAAAAATGTTACTTAAAATTACAAAGATAGCCAGTATATAAGCTCAGATTAAGGCTAAAAATATTTAGGGCCAATGGAAGAAGGGAACTACAAAGTGTGAGGTAAATCCATATTTATCATAATAGGAAGTCAGTAGACAATGTTTAAATTTAAGAACTAGTGGTATAGCCCTGCTGGCCTGGCTCAGTGGTTGAGTGTCTACCTATGAACTAGGACAGTGGTCGGCAAACTGTGGCCCCTTGAATGTGGCTCTTCCACAAAATACCACGTGCGGGCGCGCACGTACAGTGCGATTGAAACTTCATGGCCACACTGAAGGGGGCAAAGAGCTGCATGTGGCTCGCGAGCCGCGGAACATGTGGTTTGCCAACCACAGAACTAGGAGGTCACATTTCAATTGCCAGTCTGGGAACATGCCCGGGTTGTGGGCTGGGCGGGCCCCAGTGGGGGCCATGCAGGAGGCAGCCAATCAATGATTCTCATCGTTGATGTTTCTATCTCTCCCTCTCCCTTCCTCTCTGAAATCAATAAAGATATTTTTTTTAAAAGAAATAGTGGTATAGCCCTAGCTGGTTTTGCTCAGTGGATAGAGCATTGGCCCTTAAACTGAAGGGTCCTGGGTTCAATTCCAGTCAAGGGCATGTACCTCTCAGTTGCAGGCTCAATCCCCAGCGTTGGTTGGGGTGCGGTGCGTGTGGGAAGCAACCCATTGATGTATCTCTCTCACGTGGATGTTTCACTCTCTGTCTCTCCTCCTGCCTTCCACTCTCTCTCTCTCAAAATCAATGGAAAAATATCCTTGCGTGAGGATTAACAAAAAGAAAGAAAGAGAGGAAGGAAGGAATAGTGTTATAAACCCATTGTGGGGTTATAAGTATAAATACCAGGAAAAAATAGCTAAAAGTGATTGCCTCTTGGGATTGGGACTAGAGGTGGGAAAGGATAGGGCAGGTGTAACTAACTATCTTTTATCCTGTAACCATGGGCTGAAATTACATGGATTAAAAACTAAAATCAAATCTAGCCAGTGTGGCTCAGTGGTTGAGCATTGACCTATGAACCAGGAGGTCACGGTTCAGTTCCCAGCTTGGCATATACCCAGGTTTCAGGCTTGATCCCTAGTAGGCAGCATGCAGGAGGCTGCCGATCAATGATTCTCTCTCATCATTGATGTTTCTATCTCTCTCTCTCCCTCTCACTTCCTCTCTGAAATCAACAACAACAAAAATAAAATAAGGACCCTTTCCCCTTCCCCACGTGGGAGTTCGTACTTGTTCTTCAAGAACACCTTTGCTATAAAAAATAAATTAAATAAATAAATAAATAAATAAAATAAAAATCAAGCCAAAGCATAAGTTTTTCATGGCTCCTCATTGCTTGTAGAATAAAATCCAAGCACCTTAGAATTATCTTCTATAACCTTGTTATTCAAAGTGTGATCCCTGGAGAACCTCAGGCCCTGCCCTGGATTTACAGAATCATAATCTGCATTTTGATAAGATTCAAAGATACAGTAATTTACATGCATGGTCAAACACAAGAAGTATCAGTTCACAAGATCAAGCATGATTTGGCCCAGGTGGACCTCTTCGGCTTGAAACTTTTCTCCTCATTAGCCAGATAAACTTCACTTTCCACTCCCTTAGTCAATGCAGTGGCTACACAGGCGGTGTCAGTGGCTAGCTAAATTCTAACCACTATTTTAGACCCAGCTCTTCTCTCACCCTCTGCAACTCTCTGCAACTATTAGGGGCAGAAATGGAATAGTGATAAAGATAAGAAATATTAATCATTCTGTTAACCATGATTGTTCTGATTAGAGAAAACACATTCTAAGCTGGCTGAGAGTTGTACACCCGGGGACATGGGAGCCAACATTGGAATGCAGTCTATCCTCCTTTTCCCAGAACTACCTATCATTACGGAAAGATTAAACAATCTCGTCCTGGAGGCGCCCGGAGGTGCCCACCCTCTGCGGCCCCCCCGCCAGCCCGCATTGCCTGTAACCTATAACCATGATACCTTGGCTACTTTCCCATGCCTGTAATTCTTACTTCCCCATGTAATCTTCGTCCCTCTTCCCAACATAAGCGGCTGGCTTGTGGGGAGGGGCAGAGCAGCTTTTTGTGGAAGACCTGCTGCTCTCCCATGCTGCCGCCATTATTGGAATAAACACTCATGTGATTCAACCCTGTCTTTGCTTAATTGGCTCAAATAGTGACAGGCAGCCGGGACCCACTGGTTGTCGGGTTACATTACCACTGTTCCTTAAGCTCCCACATCCATGACTGAGCGTGCTTAGCCTTCATTCAGCAAACATTTATTGGGCGCCTGCTGTGTACTTGGCTGGATTCCTGCGGGGGAGGCGGGAGGGAGAAGGCGCTGAGTTCTTACAATGCTCCTTCAGTTACAAATCTAGACTCGCCCAGCCCTAAGCATTCCAAGGCCAAAGGTTGTGTTCGCAGCGCGCGCGCGCACACGCGCGCACACACACACACACACACACACACACACACACACACACACGGACCTGCACGGCTTTTCTGAGCATTACGGTGCGCTCCTCCCGCCCCCGCAACACACACACACGAGCATTCCAGGGCCAGAAGTCCGCAGCACTCGAGAACACACACAGTCCGCAGCACTCGAGAACACACACACACACACACACACACACACACACACACACACACACACACACCAGCATTCCAGGGACAGAGGTCGGCTGCGCGGCTTTTCTGAGTGTTACGGCGCGCTCCTCCCGCCCCCGCGCGGCGCGGGTAGGGACCCACCGGTTCCGCTCCGCACCAGCAGCGGAGACCTGACCCTAGGGAGCGGGACCCCGCGGTCCCGACGCTCTGCTCGGTTCAGGCTACATGCCCGTATGGAGGGGACTGCAGAGTCCCAGACGCCTGATCTGCGAGACGTGGAGAGCAAGGTGGGCAGGAAGACCCCCGAAGGGCTGCTCCGCGGGCTTCGAGGGGAGCGGGAGCCGGGACCCTCCGGCACCCTGCTGCTCCCCGGGGCGCCGAGCTCGGGCCATGGGCTGGGGGACAAGATCAAGGCGCTGAAGATGGAGCTGGTGAGTGTGGGGCCCCACAGGCTGGGCGGAGGTGGGGGTTGGAGGTGGGACCCGAGCCCCGAGTCCCCGAGTCCCCGGTGGAGGGCCTGAAGGAGCGACTCGGAGTTGGCCTGGAGCCCAGGGAGTTTAAACTCCCCACCTAACTCAGCGGGATCGCTCCCAGGTCAGTCCCTAAACCCTGGGTCATCAATTGCTTCCCCACGGGTGAGGAGAGTGTAGATGGGTCCTGAAGACTTGGGGAGGGAGGCACAGTCTCTTGGAAGTTTTTCCTGCCAAATAATTGGGAGGGGAGAGGCGAAGACTGGGAAGCGCTGAGAACCTAGCGCAGCAGAAATCTCCCCACCTCCCAGCCCACCTCCTCACCCACAGGACCATCTATCCCCCAGTCGCCATTATAGGGCAACCAGTTTTTTCTCCTCCGGCAAACTGGGTCCAGGGTTTGTTCTTCTGAGACCCCAGTGTTCACGGCTGGAGTCAGCACAGTAAAGATTTGGGTGAAAACTGCCTGGACTAGGGCCACTAAAAACATCCTTTCTTTCACTAACATTCTCCCAATCTCCCTGTATTTGAAATTTCCTACAACCTTAGCAGACATGAGTAGCAGCACTCTCAGTGTTGGTTTCGTTACCTCTGACTCAGTCTCCTCCTCACCAACCCCAGGGTGCACTGGATATTTGGATCTCATCTGTACCTCCTTGGGGAGAACAGGAAACAGGCACCCTTCCCCTTCCCCGTCGCTGCTGGGTCTAGATTCAGAGCCAAAAGAGCAGTTGGGACCCACCAGGCTCCCCGGGGCCCTGATTCCGGTGAAGGTGGTGATTTACACCTGCCATCACTTTACAGCCAGTTCTAGGGAACTGACGAATTGCCAGCTGCTCTCTGGCCCAGAACCAGGAGGCCACAGTGAGGATGTGAGTTAATGTCTTCCTGGAGCCCCACTGTGTGCCCAGCTCTGTGCCAGGCTGAGCTGTGAGGGAGAGGGGGAGGAGGTCCTGGGGGCTTCCACACAGCCTGAGAGGCTGGGAGGAGAGCCTTATGGGCAGAGCAATCAGGGAAGGCTCCCTGGGGGGAGGATTTGAATGCCATGTGTGCACTTGGCCTTGAAGGCTGGAGCTGAGCCAAATTCTCCTAAGCAGTGTCCACCTACGGGAGGGGCCTGGCTTTGCCTCATTGTACAGACTTTAGCTCAAGGCCTAGAAAGAGCCTACCTAGAGGGTCCTACTTTGGAAACTAACTTTTACCAAGTGCGCGTGCCAGACTTCAGGCTGCGCACTTTACAAGATCGTCTCTTAATCCTCATGGCAACACTATTAGGTAAGTGATACTTTATAGATGAAGACACTGAGGCACAAAGAGGTTAAGTGATTGCCCCAGGTCATACGAAGAGTTAAAAAGCAGAGCCAAGCTTTGAACCTAGATGACCTGCCTACACTTTACATCTACCATTGACCTGCTTTGTGCCAGACACCTTACATATTTTATGTCATTCACATGAGGAAAGCAGTCGTCATTCTCCCGTCTCACAGATGAAACATGCTTGTAGGTGCCGAGGTCACACAGGGAGGAGCCATGCCCCATCTCTCGGGCTCTAACTCTTTTCTGCCTTTGGTGGATATTCCCTGTTTGTAAACTTTAAGGGGTACGTTTAACTTCTGATTAGGTCTCCAGTCTTGACCCAGCCTGAGCCAGCCTGGCCTGGGGCCCTAGGCTGCCCATGAAGGGCAGGAGGGAGGGAGCTTTCTGGGGGCCCTAACAGGGAGAGGCTCCCTGTGTGCCCCACGGATCCCTGATCCACTCCCTTCTCCCTCTTCAGGCCAGGATGTCATGAATCTCTTTTACACTCTGCCCTGCCCACTGGGTCACAGCCAGGGAGGACAAGGAAGGAGCAGGGCAGGGGGGTTCCACCCTGGAGCCACTTGTGACAGAACTGGTCCCAGCCCTCTAAGTACTGTCCTTCACCAGTCTTTCTCCCAGCTCTCCTGCAGGGAGGGGACAGTCTTGCCCTTGAGGCCAAGGTCATCCCTGCCTCTAGGCCTTTTCCCTCCTGCCCAGCCAGACTCTGGCAGCAGCATGTGGAAAGGAAAAACAGTGGCAACGTCCTCTTAATACTGCCACCCAAATAGCTGTGGTTATGACAACAACCCCACAGAACAGTTTGACAAAAAGCTTTAGCCCACTGGTGTGGCTCAGTGGTTGAGCACCCACCTTATGAACCAGGGGGTCATGGTTCAATTCCTGGCCAGAGCACATGCCCAGGATCGTGGGCTCTACCATCAGTCTGGGGCGTGCAGAAGGCAGCAGATCAATGATTTTCTCTTGTCATTGATGTTTCTATCTCCCTCTCCCTTCCTCTCTGAAATCAATAAAAAAATATTTTTTTAAAAAAGCTTTAGGCAAGAAGTGGGGAGGCATAGGTTCAAGTCGTAGCTCTGCTGAATCGTCTTGAGATCCTGAGCAGGGCCTCTCTCTTGGGTTTAGTTTTTCTGCCTCTTCCCGAAGTTGGCGAAGGCAAGTGATTGTGAGACCAGATGATCTCTAAGAGCCTTCCTAGTAATAATAGTCTGAGAATCTCAATCCATGACCAGGGATTTGGGACTGGGATTTTACCCTAGGGCCTGATTTCACTCGAATGGTAAGGGAGCCATACTGTAGCCTCAGGGGAGTCTGATGTGTATGTGTTAAGGGAAGGAGTGGGGAACCTGAATCCCTGTGGGAAGAGAATTGGGTTGGAGTGGCCTCTGAGGCTGCATCTCTCCCGAGCTGTTTATCCCCCTTCTATTTCCAAAGAGATGGTGTGAAATGAGTATTATTTTTCTGGCAAAAAAAGCCTTGCTTTTTATTTATTTCAGAGAGGGAGGGAGAGAGATAGATGCATCAATGATGAGAGAGAATCATTGATCAGCTGCCTCTTGCATGCCCCACACCAGGGATTGAGCCCACAACCTGGACATATGCGCTTGACCGGAATCAAACCTGGGACCATTCAGTCTGCAGGCTGGCGCTCTCCCCACTGAGCCAAACTGGCTAGGGCTGGCAAGGATAGTTGACTTGGAGGAGACACTGCTTTGTCTGGCTAAGTTCCACTAATTTTCAAGGCTCTAAATGGAAATAGATACAATATATCTATTGCCTCTAAGATGGAATAGATACAATACTAGTATATGATATGTTTAAAAGCCTTGAGAAATTAAGACAATTGGGAGAGAATTTGGTGATGACTTACTGACAACTATATAGCAAACTAAGCAAAACAGTAGTAGTAGTAATATTATAACATGAATAATACTATTATAACATTAATAATAACATATTCAATTGTCCTGTCAGGGAATTGAACCATGACCTCCTGGTTCATGGGTAGACGCTCAACCACTGAGCCACGCTGGCTGGGCAACGTATTATTATTCTAAGAAAAACAAAGTTGTAAGAAATGTAAGGTCAATATAGTAAACCACATGGCTTAGCTGTGATTGAGTTTTAATAAGATAAACACTGAATAATTAATTTTATTGTATATAATGGGAATATGGGGAGATGGGAAAGGTGCCTGTATGGCAGAGGAATGGGGAGTAAATTGAAAGAGTTAAATTCTTAACCTATCGTGTGAGAAGTCAGTAGAAAATAGCTAAGATTTAAAAATTAGTAAATAGCATGTTATTTGGAAATTAGAAGGTAAGTACCAAAATAAACAGCTAAAAAAATTAATAGTTGTCTCTGGAGTGTGGGATTTAGGACAATGATGGGAAACTGTTACTTTTCATAATAAATCTTGCAGAACTTTTTGCCTCTTTAATCTTTTTTTTCCCCTCTTTAATCTTTCACTATCTATTACTTTGACTAAAAATGACACTAAATAAAAGGAGCTTTTAAGTCGGGTGGCAGAACCGGGGTTCCTAGGGAGGTATGCTAGAAGTGAAGCTAGGGAGATGGGCAAGAGCCATATTATGAAAGCCTTTGAATGCCAGCTGCTAAACTGTTTACATTTTATTCTCTAAGACCAGTGCAAAGCCCATAAAGGCTCTTGAGCAAGGGAGGGACAGGTTCAAACTTGTGTTTGGGAAAGATGATTCAGTGCCTCTGAGTTGAAAGGGACTCCAGAGATTACCCAGTCAGTCAGTCAGACTTACTCCCAGTACAAGCAGGGAGACTAGTGTGTGGTGGAGGACAGCACTGAATCCCTAGTCAGAGGGATTCTGACCCTACGAAGCTCTAGCCAACTCTCCCCTCCCTTAATAATTGCTACCGGCACCCTGAAGTGACTGCGGGACCAGGGTAGCTCCCTCTTTACCCTCAGCTCCTGTCTTCTTTTGGTCCAGTCTACCTCCCAATTAACAGCTGGCCTCCTATCAGACTATTCGTTGGCTGTTTCTAAGTTTACTGGTGACTCTGGACCGGTTGTTTCAGTAGTTAGTAGTAATACCTATCTATGAAGTTCAAAGCTCAGTAGGATCAGATTTTAATATTTAACATTTACTGAGACCTTACTCTGTGGCAGGCACCGTGCTGAGTACTTAATAGACAGCATCTCAAAATTCTCACAGCCACCCTGTGAGGTGAGTGATTTAACGCTATTTTACAAACCAGGAAACCGAGCTCAAAGAAGATACGAAAGTTGGCTATAGTGGTGTTGACAATCAGTGGTAGAGGTGAGGTTTTAAAACAGTAATCTGTCTGCTTCTAAGCCCACACTCCAAACTTTCTGTTTCCATGCCTTTTTTTTAAAAAAAAACTTTTTTTTTTTTTACTGATTTTTAGAGAGAGAGGAAGAGAGAGACACATTGATATGAGAGTGAAACATCGATTGATCAGCTGCCTCCAGCAAGCCTCCCAATGGGGATCAAGCCTCCACCCCGGGCATGTGCCCTGATAGAATCAAACCTGGCAACCCTTTGGTGCACGGGACAATGTCCAACCAACTGAGCCACACCAGCCAGGGCTCCCTGCTTCTTGAGCGTGAAACACAGTTGGTTGGATCACAAGGCAGGGGTCTCTGGAAACATTTGGGAAATGCATGGCCCAGAACCGGAACTGATTCCTTCTCCCATTCCCCCAGGCTTACCTGCGAGCTATTGACGTGAAGATCCTACAGCAGCTGCTGACTTTGAATGAGGGCATTGAGGCGCTCCGCTGGCTGTTGGAAGAACGGGGAACATTGACCAGCCACTGCAGCAGCCTCACCAGCAGTCAATATAGCCTGACAGGTGGGAGCCCAGGCCACTCAAGGAGAGGCAGCTGGGACAGCCTGCCAGACGTCGGCTCCACTGACCAGCTGGACAGTGTCTCCATTGGCAGCTTCCTGGACACCGTGGCACCCCCTGAGCTGGATGAACCGGGCAACCTTAGGGCTCCCCATCCTGAGATGGACTGGGCAAAGGTTATACCTGGTGGGGAGAGGGCCAGGACTGAGTTGGACCTGACAGCCACCAAGCTAGGGAGCTTGAGGGCTGTGTGGAAGCCCCCAGAGGCGGGGCTCCAAGGTGGACCTCCTGAGCCACCAGAGGATGAAAATGCCGAGCTGGGCTTTGAGGTCCACTGGTACTGGGGGCAGTGCCAGGATGACGTGACCTTCCTGTAACAACATTTCCACCCTTTTGTTCTGCTGTGGCTCTTTCTTCACTAGGCCCTCGTCTCCCTTGAAATTTACTCTCTCTCAATTTGGGACTAGGAAGAGGCTGCATTGAAATCAGTTACCATGGAAATCTGGCCTCACCATCTCTTTGGTCCTTGGTGAAGCTGTGCCTCTATCCCTCAACTATTGGGTATATATATATATATATATATATATATATATATATATATTTCCCCCCCCCCCCCCATAGATATATTAACTCTAGAGCAGGGGTGGGAAACGTTCAGCCTATGGTCCGCATAAAAAAAATCATTTGGTTTGGCCCTGCCAAGGCATTAGGGATGAGTTACCTAAATGTTTGACCAAGTATAGCAGGCTAATATTTAAGTTGATAATTTTGTATGGCCCGTGAACGATGTTATAAATATCCAAATGGCCTTTGGCAGAAGTTTCCCCACCCCTGCTCTTGAGGGTGTGATGGTCTCTCTTTCCTTTTCCTCCATAACTACGTAAGGATTTGAAGGATTTAGGGCCCTTAGGAGGTCACTCATGAAGAGAATAATGGCTTCACTCAATGTCTAAGAGCCTTGGCTGTCTTCCCCCCTCCTGCTCCCCCAAACCTTGGCCAAGATGGATGGCTGTGGAGGGACATGGTCACTCAGGATTAGCCTTCCTAGTAACCTTTGGGGTTGGTAGAACCACGGTTTCCTGTTTGGTGAGTGATGTCATTGCCTGCCAGGATGGATTAACCTTTCCACTGAACCAGTCATTTTGGTGGTAATAGGTCAGTATAGCGGTATCTGAACCCCTGCTGCTAAGGGAGACCATGCCATTTATTCTCTAAACCATTACTTTTCGTGAGGGGGAACATACCACCCCTCCTGGCAAGAAACTTTCTCACTGTCAGATATTTACGCTTCTTTTCAGAAAGGTTCATACTTTTTAAACAGGGTTATTCTCATTTCATCCTAAGGGATCTCGCTTCCTCTGTAACCACATCCCTGCCTGGTGCCGGCACTCCTATATCTGTGCTTTTAGGGAGGGAAACTGGCAAGGGCCTCCACCTACTGCTCTCAAAAGTCTTGGCCTGCCCTGCCACAGTCAGTTCGTGTTTTACCCTGTCCCTGGGTTGTTCCCATTCTTGTATTCTGGCTCCAAATCTGCCTGCCAGGAGGTTCAGCCTTTGTGTCTCCACACCTTCTCAGTTTCCACTTCCACTTCAGGCCTCAGGCCTTTTATATGCAGATGAGTCCCCATTGCTTAGGGAGGACAAGCTTGAGGTCTCAGAGCTCTGGAGGCGTACCAAAATCTCCAAAGTGAGGAGGTGTCTTCTTTTCTAACCCCGTGATTCCCCCTCCCCCACCTTGCCCCGACCCTCTACCATTTGATCAAAAGGACCTGCCCAGAGACTGGGACACAGGAATCCCCTTGTTTGAATTACAATGGGGGGTGTGGTGTGGCAGGGAAAGACAGAGGCTCTTTAGTCCTAGGGCCCACATCCCGAGGAGGAGGGAGAGATTGAGGGAAAGGCCACTTTCCTTCCTCCCTTAGAGCAAGCCCTAGACTCCTAGGACCTGAGGAGGAAGCAGGGGACTGGCTCTGGGCCTGGGTCCCAGGGCCCTAAAGAATTGCACCAAAGAAAGAATTCAGGGAAGCTGCCAACCTGAGGCTCAGGGAGGGGACAAGGAGACAAGGGTTGATGTCAAAGAATGAATTCTTGGAAATTAACCCTTTGAACCCCAGGTAACTGCCCATAAGTCGGTCCCTATCTTTCCTGGGCCCTGAAACTAGATTATTGGAAGGCGAAAGGATATCAGGTGATCTTTGCCTATTTGCTGTACCCTCCTGAGTTGTAGGAGTCAGCCCCAAATCCTAGAATAACTGCTGCAATTTCTCTACTTTTCATTCTATGCTGGAGAAGGGAAGGAAGCCAGGTTGATCATCTCCACTTCCCCTAAACTCAATTCTTACTCTGCACCCCTCCCCCCCAATCATTGTGGGACAAAACATTCAGTCCATGGCTGTCCCCTAAAGAACCTCTCTCCTCCTCCCATCCCCTCAATGTGATTGATATCACTAAAATGTATTCTTGGCCTCTCCTCTGCTGCCCACCAGCCCTCCCCTTACCACCGCTCCTGGTCTTGGGGCTCCTGACCCCCTACCCCCACCCCGGGAGCTGGAAATTCAAATACCCTTTTCTAATTCCTACTCTGTTGCCATTTTGTAGTGTGCCCTTGGGAACTGCTTTGTATTCCTTTTTGAAGCTTGCTTATTTGTTTAGTCTACGAACTTCTGAGCTGAAGAAGTTGCCTGCCATCTTGTGGTCATTATGCACCATTGCCATGAGTGGCTGGGGGGAACCTCCAAATTCAAACACAGCCTTACAGAAGACCAGCCCCTTCAGTGCACAGACTGGAGAGATGGGCCTAGAGAGTCAGAGACTTGCCCAGTGTCATCCATGGCAATGCCCAGGTTAGAGAACCCAGGTGTCTCCCGCCTGCTTGCCTGCCCACAGTTCTATCACTTGGTTAGACTGTTCCTCCACCTCACCCAGTTAATACACCCAAGCCTAAAGGGACTGAAAGCAATTTTTCCCTATTTTATTTATGTTATTTTTAAAATATATTTCTTTATTGATTTCAGAGAGGAAGGGAGAGGGAGAGAGAGAGATAGAAACATCGATGATGAGAGAGAACCATTGATCGGCTGCCTCCCGCACGACCCCCACTGGGGATGGAGCCCACAACCCGGGGCATGTGCCCTTGAGCAGAATCGAACCTGGGACCCTTCAGTCCGAAGGCTGATGCTCTATCCACTGAACCAAACCGGCTAGGGCAATTTTCCCCTATTTTAATATTTGTAAAGAGGCAGCTCCATGTTTAGAAAAGGGCTGTAGGCTCTGAGGAAAGAGAACCTCGGACCTGGATTGGGTAAAAGGTACACGAATCTGGACTGCAGATATAAGGAAAATCAATCCTGGACCATTTTTCTGGGAAGGGCGGGTGAGTAGGGCCGAAAATCATGGGGTCAAAACTCCACTCGGCGGAGGTTAGAAGTGGGGTCTGGGGTGGAGAGGTTTGAGATTAGGAAATCCAGATGGGTCCTACGGAGTTGGGGGCTCCATATGTCAGGGTATTACAAGGAAATGCGACTTTTTTTAAAGTGGGTAATTGGGTAATTTAAAACATTTAATTCTTAGCAATCCTATAAGCAATGCATTATTATCAGTGTATTGTTGCTTAGACATTTGCTCAGGTAGTAATATAAGTAATAAATGAATGGTAATATGAACCTAGTTCAGTTTGATTGCAGGGGCTCGACTGGATAGGCATGTGAGGGTGTTGAGGAGCTGGAGAGGTTCGGTGAGCTGGGATGCCTGGGCACTCCAGGTAGGTCTGGGCATCCTATCTTAATATCTGATACCCTATTTCACTAACAGAGAAGTTCAGGAACCCAGGAAACACACATCCTTGTTCCCTCCTACCAGCCTTTGGACCTGCTGCTTGAGACTTAGCTCTCCTGTTAACTTAGACCTTCCTAGCTAGCTAGGAGAAAGAGAAGGGGGGGAAGGGGGAGAGGTAAGAGAGAATGAGATGGAAGTGGAGTGCTACAAGTATGATCAGAGGGAGCATATTGTCCTCCAAGTGGGCCCGAGGCTTTTGTCAGGACTCATGATAAAGGCAGAGATGCCCTTGCTCTTGGCAACTGCAGAAATAGTGCCTGAGAGGATAAGGGTGGTGCTGACTGGGGTGGGTACATCATGAAGACATGAGACCATGTGAGTGGACACGGGTAAGGGCCTGCATTTAGGATGGGGGCAGTGAGGTTGAGCACTGGACTGACTGGAAGCCGGGTGGCACCTTAGGTGAGAAACGCTTGGAGCTTGTTGTAGACACTAGCTCACTGTGTGTGGTGCCAGGCACACCTGGGTGTTCAGTGACACCTGTTGACTGAATGGAGGAATGAATGTGTATAAAGTAACCCACAAGGAGATGTGACTTTTTTAAGTGGGTAATTAGGTAATAGGTAATTTAAAACATTATTTAATTCTTAGCAACCCTATAAACAATGCATTATTAACAATGTATTGTTGCTTAGACATTTGCTCAGGTAGTAATATAAGTAATAAATGAATGGTAATATGAACCTAGTTCAGTTTGATTGCAGGGGCTTCTAGGAAATCTACCTCTCCACTTTCCACTCTCACAAACCTTACTTTCCTAGGAGAACAGATTGGTGCTGCCCAGCGGCAGGGCCAGCGTACTAGTTTCCTATTGCTGCTGTAATGAATTACCATAAACTTAATTGCTTAAAATAACACAAATGCATTAGCTTACAGTTCTGGAGGCCACAGCTCTGAAATCCGTTTCATTGGGCTAAATTAAAAGTCAAAATGTTGCCCAGCTTGCATACCTTCTGGAGTCTCTAGGGGAGAATCCGCTTCTTGGCCTTTTCCAGGTTCTGGAGCAGGGGTGGGCAAACTTTTTGACTCAAGGGCCACAATGGGTTCTTAAACTGGACCGGAGGGCCGGAACAAAAGCATGGATGGAGTGTTTGTGTGAACTAATATAAATTCAAAGTAAACATCATTACATAAAAGGGTACGGTCTTTTTTTTTTTTTTTAGTTTTATTAATTTCAAACAGGCCGGATCCGGCCCGTGGGCCATAGTTTGCCCACGGCTGTTCTAGAGGCTGCTTGCATTCCTTGGTTCATGGCCCCTTCCTCCATCATCAAGCCAACAGCATAGCATCTTCACTCCTCAGACCTCTGCTTCCATCCTTCTCTAATTCTCCTGTTTCCTCTTATGAGAATTACATTCTGATTACATGTCTTTGTAATTATATTGGGTCCACTGAGACAATCCAGAATCATCTCCCCACCTCCAGATCTGTAACCACATCTTCAAAGTCCCTTTTGCCATATAAGCTAAGATACTAACAGGTTCTGGGAATTAGGACATGAACATCAACCACAGGCAGAGATGGAAGGTGGGTAAAAGGATGCACCCAGGGCCAGAATGAGCCTCTATGCATTGTCCAGCCTCTCTTAGGCTGGTGCCAAGGGAGACAGGTCCAGGCTCCATGTCTGGAGAATAGCAAGTGCCTCCTGAATCATCACTACCAGGAAGAGGTGAGAATGAAGGTCTCAGTTTAGGGAACTTTTCAGGCCTGAAATTCTGCTGGACAACTCTGTCTTCAACATTGCCTCCTCTCCAGAAACATTCTGTACTCCTCA